ATAGCTTGACATTGTGAAGATGAGTAAAGGTATAAGATGAAGTTAGTAATAGCTTGACATTGTGAAGATGAGTAAAGGTATAAGATGAAGTTTGTAATAACTTGACATTGTGAAGATGAAGTTAGTAATAGCTTGACATTGTGAAGATGAGTAAAGGTATAAGATGAAGTTGTTAATAGTTTGACATTGTGAAGATGAGTAAAGGTATAAGATGAAGTTTGTAATAACTTGACATTGTGAAGATGAAGTTAGTAATACCTTGACATTGTGAAGATGAGTAAAGGTATAAGATGAAGTGTATAATAGCTTGACATTGTGAAGATGAAGTTAGTAATAGCTTGACATTGTAAAGATGAGTAAAGGTATAAGATGAAGTTAGTAATAGTTTGACATTGTGAAGATGAGTAAAGGTATAAGATGAAGTTTGTAATAACTTGACATTGTGAAGATGAAGTTAGTAATAGCTTGACATTGTAAAGATGAGTCAAGGTATAAGATGAAGTTGTTAATAGCTTGACTTTGTGAAGATGAGTAAAGGTATAAGATGAAGTTTGTAATAACTTGACATTGTGAAGATGAAGTTAGTAATAGCTTGACATTGTAAAGATGAGTCAAGGTATAAGATGAAGTTGTTAATAGCTTGACTTTGTGAAGATGAGTAAAGGTATAAGATGAAGTTTGTAATAACTTGACATTGTGAAGATGGTTAAACAACTTGTCTCACCTTTTTTGGTTCCACGGGGTCGACAGCAGCGCAGGTTTTAGATTTCTCATCTATCAGTAAATACATATAATTATCTTCTAGAGCTGGCACGATTCGAATCTTCATTTTATCGTGTTGTATTACAACTTGTTTAGAATGGTGACGTAAAGCTATACTTCCAGATGTCAACACTGAAAAAAATTATAACTATTGACAACCATATAGAATATATTCATTATATAGAATTTTCTTCTTTTTTGATTTCAATTCATTTTATATTAAGATGAAACCACATTTAAACACAACTTTAATCCTGTGCCAGTACCTTCTGTTGAATAGTGAATAGTTGCTTGTCAATAGTAACTGGATTTTTTCAACCACCCTAATCTCAAACAAGTTGTTGATCCTTGATAAAGAAAATGACAATATTTTGACAATATCCAAATATGTTTCTGTGTGTGAGATCTCCACACTTTCTCCTAATATTCTATATTAAAATTAAATGACATGGGTGCAAGTTCCTGACAATATTTATAATACCACCATGTTTCAGTGTCCAATATCCAACCAATTCGTCCTAATATTCTACTGAAGGATTATTCCAAAACAATAGATGAGTGGAACAGTAAATCAGTCCAGGTTGGAACTGTTGTCTGCTATAACAGTGGGATGACTAACTCAATAGTTTAACAAGTTACTTTCTGTTGAGATATACTAGTTAATAGTGCATAATATCTTAAGTTACAGACTTACAAATTTGACAATAAACAGAAGATACATTGACAGCTCAATATCAGAGAAAAACTATAAAGTATAGAGCCTATTGTAAACTATACTGGTACCTTTTGTTGAGTGACTAAGGATTTTTCTAAACCTTGATATCATTTAACTCATTAAAATACTAGAACAAATCTACAATAAAAACAAATAAAACATAAATACATAGCCTAGAGTTCACTTGACTACAAAATACAATGAGATAGTTAATTATTACTGTTATGATTCATTATCTTCACAATCAGTGTAGGCCTCCCTAAGAGATAATTAGGACATATACCATTTACGACTGTCATAGTCACTTCACAATCAGGGTACTGGTAGGCTACATTACAATTTATCCATTTGAAGAGAATTGATTCCCTACATAAAGTCATAAACAATCTTCCATGATACAACAAAGTGGCTACTGTGGTCAAGGTATAAGACACAATATATTGAAATTGTAAAGACATCGTTGTATATGACAGATCATAGTAAAATAACAATATTAAATTTTAAATATCAACAGTATCATTTCTTTGTGGTCTGTAGCCTTATCGATCTCTCGTTATTCAACTACCATTTTCACCAGTAATAATCAATTGGAAGATTGTCAGCTGTCTTTCTGCTTTCTAGACGATACAAGAAATAGTTTCTACAAACATTCCGATCTAAATAGACTGAAAATTACCTGAAAAGTTGCAGAAATAAGATAGATTCAGCTACTTCATAACAAATTCATCTAAAAAAAACAACTGAATTACGTCCCTTGAATAATAAACAACCAGACCACAAATAAAACTGGTAATTGATAAACAGAGTTGTTCCCCTTAGACCATCTTTTACACATGGCTGATAGAATTTCGGTGCCATCGAGTCTCTTGTCCCGTGTGATGGAAACTCTCTCAAGATGATTGTCAACATAGCTGTTGGGGTGGGTACTTTATTTTCGTTTTTATATCCCATGTTTTTTTTTGGCTGGAGATTTTTCTCTGCGGGTTTCTTCAAATCAATTTGTGATAAAATTTGACCTTGAATCGAGAGCAAGAATGGAAATTGAAGAAGGAAGGGGAGGGAGGGTGTGTGGATGATTTCTTAATGACGACCTGACAGAGGCAGGGTGGGGTCAGTGTATTCAAATAAAGACACCTACTTTAAAAATTAATCACTTTCAATCTGAATCAATAATCTTAGTCCATCCTCTGAAGGTCATTCCCAATTGTGAATTTCATTCTACTGTTCGAATACATTGAGCTCTGAGTTGAATTTTTTCACTAATTTCAGAAATTTTCAAAATAATATATTCAATCGTATGTCATTTGTCTTCAACTATATCTCCGGATCCATAGAAAAATAAGGTTCAGTTATATTACATTTAAAATAGACACACTTCCCTTCCAGAAAATCTAGTAAAAATGACCTACTATTCAGACTGAAAATTCCCCTTTGTAAAATCATTTTTACGAATAATAACTTTTCCACTGGTTAAAATTGTCATCAACCCAAAGACAATCCAAGTCTCTCAGTAATATTTTGTAGTTGATATTTCAATTCATATGAAAATGATTGTCAAAATTCAATTTGCATGCCTTAAGGAGCCCTCATACAATAGCAACTACCAGTTGTGTATGGTTGTGAATAATTAAAGTGAGCTAGTGGACATGAGCTCCCAACTCAGTTGAATGAGAGATGGGTTCAAAAACTGTTATTGCTATTTTCATTCGCAATTAAACTCAACTGGTGTTTACTATGGTGTGAGGGCTACTGTAACTTACAGTCTGTAAGAGTTTTACAAATATCAGGTTTTATCATGACCATACTGCCTAACCCCCGCATTGTTTTAATAGAACCCTGGACCTGTACAAGCCATTGAGCTATATATTTAAGGACTGGACAAAAGTGTTTTGCCCAAAATTTTTAGGGAGCACAACAAAAGATTTTTTTACATATTGAGAAAACTGCATCTTAAACTTTTCTTCACACTTACTGCCTTTTTGCTTCGTCACATATTTCCTATATATATAACAACAGATACTTTTTCAATGAAGACTGCCCCGTCGCCAGGAATAAATTGATGCTGGGGATCAGATTTTGTACTCAGAAAATTTGAAGAATTAAAGACCCAGAGAACTCATTTCTGACAATTTTGAGGTGCCAAAAATGTCTCAAAATCTATATCTTTTTGATTTTGTACAAAGACATTGTAAATGAATCAATCTCTGCTGAACTGAAGAAGATTTTGCTGGGGCTTAATTCTCACTTGCTTGGTCCCAGCCTCCAGGGACCCCACCCTAACGACGGGGCTGAATGGAGAATATATTCAAGTTATGGAGTTAGTGCTTTGTCACCTACTAATCTTAATAAGTTTTGTTCAATGATTGTTAGGATATATCCTACCAAATAGAGCTTGAAATTCTGATTCCAATGGTTCAAAAAAGTGATTTAGAGTAAATAATAAAGTTACTGCATTTCACCATTGTAGAGCTGAAACTAAACTATACACGTGTTTACAGGGCAGGGGAAAATTGGGTATAAAAATTGAATGGTTTTATCTCTTGTTATAGCTGAACACTCTTCTCAACATTTATGAGTTTTCAATTCTTTCTTATGCAGCTGAGCTGGTAAAATTTCCTTCATTCCACACTGCAAGGCATTGTATATCTTCATTAAAAACTTGACCAATGTTATCAAGATTTATGAGGTTGAAGTCTCTTAATAGATTGTATACAAGTCCCAGTTATATTTCTGTATATAATTTTATTGTGCCTTATCATCTATACTGAATCTTTAATTGTCCTTTCTCTGCCCTTCCACCAAATCATTTGAGAATCACAGCAGTCTTAGTTTCCAGTTCAACCTCCCTGAATGTAACCAAATAGTACCTAATCTACACTAAATCTTTTATTCTGTGGCCCTACTGTTAGTGCTGGGTATCTTCAATCATACAACAATAGTTTATTAATCATGATACAAGGGTCAGGTTATGATATATATTAATGTCTAATCATCTAAACATCATTCTAATTATTCTCTACAATATTCAGATATTATTCACAATATAATCTCTTATCTCATCTGTCTCTTGTTTTATTCAACCTACAATAGAATATTATAAATTACATCAACAAACTGGCTATATCTTGGTAGGTTATATCTAAACAATGTCAAACTAAACTTTGTCTTATACCTTGACTGTAATAGTTACCTTTTTTGTATCACAGAATGCAGCAATTTGATTGTATCCTAGCGAATACAGCCAACTTGAGCCCTCAAAAGAAAAAATGTAAAAATGGCTATTGCAGTCAAGGTATCAGCTGAAGGTTGTAATAGTTTGACATTGTGAAGATGGGTAGGCTAACTTACTGACTTTCCATGGCTCAATCACATATATACACATAATAATGATATACCTTCAGATTTTATAATCTATTCCTGCCCCCTGTCATTTATATAGGTTGACATTGAAGTTCAGTAGGGACAATAAAATGACTACAGGATGCCTTGACTGTTCGAAATCCAAAAAGAATAAAATTTCCCTCATTGCACACTGCATGGCATTGATTGGGAGTTGACCCAATGTCGGCTTTCACCCATTAATACCTAAAAACCAGAGACTGAATAAGATTTTTGATTCAAAATTAAAGTGAATACGTGAGAAGGCCTATAAATATTTCGTTATTTAAAGTGTGCAGACTAAGACATCTCTCTAGACTTCCTAGATTTGTTAGTTCTGGACATTAGTTCTGGACATATAGTTATTATATAACAAAACTTCAATTTAAGGGACAGGTTGGCCATTTGTTTGACCATTAAGTAATAGTGTTCACAACTCACAATCTAAATTTGAGCCTTCAAATACATGTGTCTCCAGAATTATCTACGTTTGAAAATGACAACTCTTCTTTTCTTGAGACACTGCCATATATAGAAAAATCATATATAGAAATAGTGAGTAAAATTCCTAGTTTGAAGTATTTTTGAAGGAATTATTTGATTTAGTACTTTTGAAGTCTATTTACATATATTCAACAATCAAATCAACACCTGAAAATGGCGATTCTGTCCCTTTAAGATGAATTATTGATGTGAAACTTGTGACTATATTCTAGTTTACCATAAATAATAATGTTTATCAGGAAAAGTACGGTAGACTAGACCAGATGTTCCTTGCAAGTTAAAAAAAAAACTAGACCAGAGAGAGAGAGAGAGAGATAGATAACTGTTCATCTATATTCCAACATCTAACTAACCCTAGTTAATTCTAGTCTATATATAGATTATAGTCAATAGATATTATAGTACCATAATATACTCTACTCTACTCTCTACTTCTCTCTTCCACTACCATTTCCCCTCCATACTTTCGTATCTTTCGAGTGTCTAGTCAGCGTTTGATTGGATTAAACTATGTGGATTCTGTTAATTTAAAGTTTGGATTTACGTGTGATTTGTTTTTGCTGACAATATGTATGAATATTACATGCAGGTAGGTTTAAAACATTCCTAGCTTCATACTTTCATAGTTTTCTGTGCCATTTATGTTGTGTCCTATTTTTGTGTACCTTACTGAGGTTAACCCATACAGGCATACTAGCCTGGCCTTGCAGTGTGCAATAGGGGAAATTGTTGGTTGTTAAAAAACGTTCTTAGCTTCATACTTCCATAGGCCTACTTATCTATGCCATTTTTGTTGTGTTCTACTTCTGTATCTTATTGAGGTTAACTCATACAATCACACTAACATTGCCTTGCAGTGTTCAATAGGGGAAATTGTTGGTTGCTTTAAAAACATTTGTGGCTTCATATTTCCATGGGCCTACTTATCTATGCCATTTTTGTTGTGTTCTACTTCTGTATCTTACTGAGGTTAACTCATACAATCACACTAACATTGCCTTGCAGTGTGAAATGGGGAAAATTTTACCAGGACAGATTTATTAGTTCATCTCTTTCATTCTTATCAATGCCAATTTTGTTATGACCTACTTTTCTGCCACTTTTGAATGTTCTACATTTTTGCATCTTACAGAGGTTAAATACATAAAAATACTAGCCTTGCCTTGCAGTGTGCAATGAGGGAAATTTTGCCAGGAAATCTGCTCAATACTTTCATTCTATCAATGCTTAGATAATGAAAATGGAGTTTTATGTCCTACTTTTCTTGGTTGATTGGTAGATGACAAGTTAACGTTGGCTTCTTCCATCTCTGCTCTTTCTGACTTAAATACATACAACCATACTAGCATTGCAGTGTGCAATCAGGGAAATTTGGTCAGGAAAGCTGCTCCACATGTTCATTCTAGGGAAATTATGCCAAATTAATTCTTCAATTATAACTACAGTCTAACTTGGTCTAACAGTCACCTGTATTCAGCACCACCCTTTAATGAACGGCCACCAAAAATACATCCCGTGCAATTTTCAACCTAATTTACCTCTATTCAACACCACCCTCTTGATATGGCCAGCGGTCACCATTTTCTTAACACTAAACACATGTCACCCTGCAATCAACGGTCATTTATCAATAATCCTTGTTAATCCCATAAATTAAAATCAAGATTAACCATACCTCTATTAAACACCACCCCTTAGTAAGCAGCCACGTTTGAGCATTCCCTTGACTGGCTGCTTAATACAAGTTAGACTGTATATCAATTATAACTACGCCATGAAAATGAGTAAAATTGAGTTCTATGTCTTACTTCTTTATCCTTACTATTGCAGTGTGCAATAAGGTAAATTTTACAAGGATAGCTGCTAAACAGTTTTATTCTTATCAGTGCCAGAAAGGAGGAGTAGTGAATGCTATGCTGAATTGAAGAACTGTACCATTATAATCTGTCAATGTAGAATGTTGAAATGAAATTTTTCTCTCATTTTATAAATATTCAAAATAAATTTTTAAACTTTATGTCATTTGTTTTAGAATGTCTTTAGGTCTATAGAAATATAAAGTTCAGTTATATTACATTTAAAATAGACACACTTCCCTACTAGAAAATTCCTGTCTTCATAAGCGCATATGGTGCAGAAAAGAATATTCACTTAAAAATGACCTACATTTCAGACTGAAAATTCCCCTCTGTAAAATCATTTTAACAAATAATAACTTTTCCAGTGGTTAACATTTTCATCAACCCAAAGACCATCTAAGTCTCTCAGTAATATTTTATAGTTGATATTTCAATTCATATAAAAATGATTGTCGAAATTGAATTCAGAAGCGATTGTAGTTAGAGAATAGATGTTTTTTGATTAATAGGTGTATTTCACATTAAACATAACAAGTTATAGTCATACCTCACTGTCTATTGTTTTTTTCTGAGCTCTCATCACCCCAGACTTTCTGATTTTACTCTGAACTATGTTAATTAGTAACTTTCTGATAACTTGGTCTGTTTGTTTGTTTATGAGTTGTATTCATCTTGTTCTCTAAACTTGCTGGTTATCTGAGTTGTATTATTAAATTACTTAGGTTTTCATTCAGTCTTAGGGTTTTTCATTGTGTAGCATAAATACTGAAAATAACATGCAGTGTGGAGTGAGGTAAATTATGAAGGCAGGGACTTGGTTTTCAATGTTCAGGGTAAAGACTGGTAATACCATACAGTGTGGGGTCAGGTAAATTATGAAGGCAGGGACTTGGTTTTCAATGTTCAGGGTAAAGACTGATAATACCATACAGTGTGGGGTCAGGTAAATTATGAAGGCATGGACTTGGTTTTCAATGTTCAGGGTAAAGACTGGTAATGCCATACAGTGTAAAATGAGGTAAGGTTTAAAGGCCTGAGTTTAGGATTTACAGTGTTCAACAAATACTGGTAATGCCTTGCAGTGGGATATGAAGTAAATTTTGCTTGTATAAAGGCTTGAGCTTAAGGTTTTAAATGTGCAGGGTATGAATTAATTCTGGTAATGCCATGCAGTGTGGAATGAGGTAAGTTTTGCAGGTTTAAAGGCATGAGCTTAGGGTTTCCAATGTGCAACATGAAGGCTGATAATGCCATGCAGTGGGAAATGAAGTAAATTTTGTAGGTATAAACACATGATCTTATTAATGTTTCAATGTTCAATATAAATAGTGGTATGGCCATGCAGTGTGAAATAAGGTAAATTTTGCAGGTTTAAAGGCCTGCGTTAAGAGTTTTCAATATTTTAAATAGCTGGTCTGTTAATTTATTATGATAATTATGCAACAAAGTATCACAATGTATCAAACAATAGAATTTATTTCCTATTGAAATTTATACAATGTCAAGTGTTTCAACTAGGAAGATAGACATATTTCTATTGTATCATTCTGTATCATAGAGAATAGATTCATACAGTGTACAGATTTATCATCTTGTTCTGTTATAGGTATGTTATATTCTCTGTTTATCTGTACCATAGAGAATAGATTCATACACTGTACAGATTTATCATCTTGTTCAGTTATAGGTATGTTATATTCTCTGTTTATCTGTACCATAGAGAATAGATTCATACACTGTACAGATTTATCATCTTGTTCTGTTATAGGTATGTTATATTCTCTGTTTATCTGTACCATAGAGAATAGATTCATACACTGTACAGATTTATCATCTTGTTCAGTTATAGGTATGTTATATTCTCTGTTTATCTGTACCATAGAGAATAGATTCATACACTGTACAGATTTATCATCTTGTTCAGTTATAGGTATGTTATATTCTCTGTTTATCTGTACCATAGAGAATAGATTCATAGACTGTACAGATTTATCATCTTGTTCTGTTATAGGTATGTTATATTCTCTGTTTATCTATACCATAGAGAATAGATTCATAGACTGTACAGATTTATCATCTTGTTCAGTTATAGGTATGTTATATTCTCTGTTTATCTGTACCATAGAGAATAGATTCATAGACTGTACAGATTTATCATCTTGTTCTGTTATAGGTATGTTATATTCTCTGTTTATCTGTACCATAGAGAATAGATTCATAGACTGTACAGATTTATCATCTTGTTCAGTTATAGGTATGTTATATTCTCTGTTTATCTGTACCATAGAGAATAGATTCATAGACTGTACAGATTTATCATCTTGTTCTGTTATAGGTATGTTATATTCTCTGTTTATCTGTACCATAGAGAATAGATTCATAGACTGTACAGATTTATCATCTTGTTCTGTTATAGGTATGTTATATTCTCTGTTTATCTGTACAGATTTATCATCTTGTTCTGTTATAGGTATGTTATATTCTCTGTTTATCTGTACCATAGAGAATAGATTCATAGACTGTACAGATTTATCATCTTGTTCTGTTATAGGTATGTTATATTCTCTGTTTATCTGTACAGATTTATCATCTTGTTCTGTTATAGGTATGTTATATTCTCTGTTTATCTGTACAGATTTATCATCTTGTTCTGTTATAGGTATGTTTTATTCTCAGATATTTAATTTTTCACAGATTTTGTACTTTTCTAATCTGAGTTTGTTGAAAGTATTGGTGTTAAAAAATCTGACAGATCCCTCCAAACCAAATAATTTTTTTCCAGTGATGTTTGACATTGATTTTGAACACTGGCTATTTCTCTGAATATAAAGGACTTTAAAATATTGTAAAAAAAATGTAAAATTTAGTTTTAGTGGAATTGCAGGATAAAAAATTGGAATGGTGTAAATTGATGTGTCGCAGATATATATACAAAATTTAGAAAACCTTTTTACAATGTCTTTAATGAGAGATTTTTCTTGAGTTTTGATGCTGTCCTTTCCCGAGAACATAAATAATGATAGTGTTTTGCTCCCCTCCCCATCCTGTTCCCCTCATTTCCCTCTTCTCCCCTTTCTGCCCCTTTCTGCCCTGCCCTTTCTGCCCTGCCCTGCCCTGCCCTGCCATGCAGTGTGGCACAGGTAGAGATTATGAGTAATGTTATCATTAGTAATGGTGTTGAAAAATAACACAGATGCCCTGTCTCACTATTCCCTGTTTCCCCTACCCTGATATATAGTTTCTTATGCCTAGAAAAGTGCTTTTCTCTTTCTACTACAGCTAGATATTATGAGTAATGTTATCATTAGTAATGGTGTTGAAAAATAACACAGATGCCCTGTCTCCCTATCCCCTGTTTCCCCTACCCTGATATATAGTTTCTTATGCCTAGAAAAGTGCTTTTCTCTTTCTACTACAGTTAGATATTATGAGTGATGTTATTATTAGTAATGGTGCTGAAAAATCAGATGAAGAAAAATAAACATCTGAAAATATAATCATATTGGCAATAGTCCAGATTGTTGAGTTGTAGACTGTAGTCTAGATTGTCATGTTACAAAAAAGTGTCCAGTTAATAGTATATTTTTGAAGTAAAACTAATAATGTTAAATTAGAATTCAGTTCTGCATCTTTTCAGAGAGTGCACATAGTTAATATTGTTTATTTCATATTTAAGTTTTTCAACACAGCATCATTTTCTCATGATAACACTGTCTGTATAAACCTGTGAAACATTGAGTTAATAAATGTTAGAAATAGTATATTCTATATATCTTCTTTACCTAGGCCTATTTCTATATGTCTTATAAACAGTAACTCAGTATCCCTTTCAGAGAGTCCACATAGCTAATAATGTTTATTTGGTATTTAGGTTTGTCAACTCTGCATCCCTTTCAGAGAGTCCACATAGCTAATAATGTTTATTTGGTATTAAGGTTTGTCAACTCTGCATCCCTTTCAGAGAGTCCACATAGCTAATAATGTTTATTTGGTATTAATGTTTGTCAACTTGACATCCCTTTCAGAGAGTCCACATAGCTAATAATGTTTATTTGGTATTAAGGTTTGTCAACTTGACATCCCTTTCAGAGAGTCCACATAGCTAATAATGTTTATTTGGTATTAAGGTTTGTCAACTCTGCATCTCTTTCAGAGAGTCCACATAGCTAATAATGTTTATTTGGTATTTAGGTTTGTCAACTCAGCATCTCTTTCAGAGAGTCCACATAGCTAATAATGTTTATTTGAAATTTAGGTTTGTCAACTCTGCATCCCTTTCAGAGAGTCCACATAGCTAATATTGTTTATTTGGTATTTAGGTTTGTCAACTCAGCATCTCTTTCAGAGAGTCCACATAGCTAATAATGTTTATTTGAAATTTAGGTTTGTCAACTCTGCATCCCTTTCAGAGAGTCCACATAGCTAATATTGTTTAAACTTTGAAGGTTTTCAACTCAGTATCTTTCAGAGAGTCCACATAGCTAGTAATATTTATTTGGTATTAAGGTTTGTCAACTCAGCATCTCTTTCAGAGAGCCCACATAGCTAATAATGTTTATTTGATATTTAGGTTTGTCAACTCAGTATCTTTCAGAGAGTCCACATAGCTAATAATGTTTATTTGGTATTTAGGTTTGTCAACTCAGTATCTCTTTCAGAGAGTCCACATAGCTAATAATGTTTATTTGGTATTTAGGTTTGTCAACTTGACATCTTTCAGAGAGTTCACATAGCTAATAATGTTTATTTGGTATTTAGGTTTGTCAACTCAGCATCTCTTTCAGAGAGTCCGCATAGCTAATAATGTTTATTTGATATTTAGGTTTGTCAACTCAGTATCTTTCAGAGAGTCCACATAGCTAATAATGTTTATTTGGTATTTAGGTTTGTCAACTCAGTATCTCTTTCAGAGAGTTCACATAGCTAATAATGTTATTTTGGTATTTAGGTTTGTCAACTCAGCATCTCTTTCAGAGAGTCCACATAGCTAATAATGTTTATTTGGTATTAAGGTTTGTCAACTCTGCATCCCTTTCAGAGAGTCCACATAGCTAATAATGTTTATTTGGTATTTAGGTTTGTCAACTCAGTATCTCTTTCAGAGAGTCCACATAGCTAATAATGTTTATTTGGTATTTAGGTTTGTCAACTCAGTATCTTTCAGAGAGTCCACATAGCTAATAATGTTTATTTGATATTTAGGTTTGTCAACTCAGCATCTCTTTCAGAGAGTCCACATAGCTAATAATGTTTATTTGATATTTAGGTTTGTCAACTCAGCATCTCTTTCAGAGAGTCCACATAGCTAATAATGTTTATTTGGTATTTAGGTTTGTCAACTCAGCATCTCTTTCAGAGAGTCCACATGTTTAAACGTTGAACTCCATCCCTTTATCTCTGTTTTATTTTATACATTTATTGATTTGATATTTATTTCTTTTTTTCAGCAACCTCGTCCAGTATTCACCCCTAAAAATACCACCATGTCTCCGTCAGCTACCCCAGGGGCTGGTATGTATCCCCAGCCACAGACCCCTCCCACCTGGACTGGTTCTACATACTATAGAAATCAACAAGGAGTGAGATATTCTTCACCTAATCCTACATCTTATAGTACTTACATACAGCCTACGGTAAGTTCACTTTTACTCTCAGTCAGGGGTGTATCTAGAATATTCCTGACAGAGGGGGGGAGGGGGGAATCAGAGGTGTGTCTCAAAGCCCCATGAGGCTGGGGGCCTGAGGACTGAAAGAAGCCAACAGATTTCAAACTGTGCGAGATGAACTTTGAGCATGTAAAGATTAGACAGATTTCAGATGTTAATAAGATCTCTCACCGGCCTGAAGACCCGGCCCCCCAAAATATATCACTATTTACTCCTATCTTATAGTACTTACATACAGCCTACAGTCAGTTGGAGTTTTACTCCCTAGATTTGGTTTTGTAATAATTTACATAAAATAAGATCTAGAAGATATTAAATACAGTTCTCTGAGAGAATAATATAACTAGAAATTTATAATCATGATTGACAGGAACATTTAAAATATCTTAATTAAGATCAAATCTCCATTTAAGAAACGCTGAAATTTGATTGGATAATAAAGGTAAATTTAATGTCAATGTTAGTGATTGACCAATCAGATGACTGGAACATTAAAATCATCCATCACTAAGTTTTTGAAAATATGGCTACAGATGTATATTTAAAAAAAACCTGTATTAAACGTATGGACAATTTAAATCTTGCTTACTTTTTTGGAAACACCTGAGGATACTTCTCTTTGGAAGAGTCCAGTACTATACAACCTTTACCACTGATTTTTCCATTCTTTGTCCGTCTGTCCGTTTACATTTGCTTGTAAATGAACTAGATTTTTTGATGGAATCAAATGAAATTGGGTACATGTATATATAGTCATAAAACGAAGATCAAGTTCGAATTTTAGCTATTTTCGACCGTTAGAAGCAGAGTTATTGCCCTTGCCCCAAAATCTTGAATATTTACCATCCGCATGCTGTGGTGGGCATATATGGCTGTAGTCCACTGTCTTTAATTGATGGAATAGTCTTGCTTAAAGAGATTTTCAATTCTCAGCTATTCTTGTTCAAGATTATCTTTACAGGCTCTCACCATTCTAATCAAACCACTGTAAATAAATGGACATTATAAAACTGTTTTCTCATCAATTCTAGTTAAAAATATAAAACACTAGTCAGTCTGTTAGTCAACTGGAATACTGATAAAACTGGCTCATGTTTCTCTATAGAGATGTATTTATAGAAACAGTGTGTGGTAAAAGATAAAGATAGTGTAAAGATGAAGTATCAGCTGGTTTATTAAGATATGTTTCTCTATAGATTTATTCTCCAGTACTAGAGCAATATGGCAGACTTCCTACTTCCTATATGAATATTAACATTAACACCTAATATCTCATGTTAATGTTGGTTTGTCAGCACTAAAAGGGAAACCTGGTGGGTCTTTGGGACAATTTGAAACTGTAGTGTCTTATTAGATTGTCTTATTGTGGCATCAGACAGGGCATGCTTACTCTTCTAGACACCTGATACCACTTTTCATTATGAAATACTTACTCACTTATAATTGATATACTTCCTCATATGAGGGATTGTGGTGCTAGACAGGGTATGCTTACTCTTCTAGACACCTGATACCAATTTTCATTATGAAATACTTACTCACTTATAATTGATATACTTCCTCATATGAGGGATTGTGGTGCTAGACAGGGTATGCTTACTCTTCTAGACACCTGATACCACTTTTCATTATGAAATACTTACTCACTTATAATTGATATACTTCCTCATATGAAAAGTTCATTAGCTGCTTTCAATGTTTCATCAAAATGTTGTGTGGATGTTAGGTTTTGTTTTGTTTTCAGATTGTTAGTCAAGTTTATTTCTTTTTTTAAATTCAATTCTCCCCTGATCTCATATCATCATTGATTAAACTCTACCTGTTTTATTAAGATATGTTTCTCTATGGATTTATTCTTCACCCCTAGAGCAATATGGCAGACTCCCTACTTCCTATATGAATATTAACTGGGTGATTGTTAGTTTGATTCAGTTTGATTCTAGTAATTACTGGGTATATCTATCTCCTAGTGAACTATTCTCTAAACATTCTTTGATCTTTAAAACTGTTTCTAGGATATACTAGTTCTTAAATCATTTTGAGAAAACATGGCCTAGCTCCCAACTTAGGGTACTGTTAGCCAGCCCTTTCAGAGGGAGGGGGGGAGAGGAGAGTGGGAGGATTAAAAGTTGATTCAATAGGGTCGGGGGCGCTATTTCAGGGGTTGATTTGTATATTATGTAAATAGTCTTCAGAAGTACTAGAAATGTACAAAAATCACATAATTCCTTCAAAAATATCTCGAACTAGGAATTTCTATTCCTATTTCTATAGGTTCCTTTTCTATATATCACAAAGTATTTAGAACTATTTAACATGCATAATTTATTATTTGAAGGCTCAAGTTTCAATGGTGAGCTGTGAACATTATTACTGATTAGCTAAATAATTCCTATTACTAAAGATGTCTCTTCTAAATCAGACCAGTCATTTTTTAACTGTCAAACAGGGATAATTCTGGAGTTAATATAAAGTTTTGACATGTCAATACTCAGTGACATGATAGGTGACAATAGATATGACTGACATTGACAGTATTTTTACTGTTAACTAAGATTGTCAATATAACAGAATAGTTTACATTCACTAAATTGTGTATAATAAAAGCCATGACCTAGTAAAGAATGGTAGATAGAAACAGGCTGGTTGAGGATATAGAAATCCATAAAGTGGCTGTTTCAAGATATGAGAGGGGGTGAGAGCCGACACCCGGCTGACTTCTGGAAGCACTGACACAGGCTGTTAAAGATAAGTTTTGACGGGAAATAGTCAGTGACAACACCAACAAATCCCCCCTTGCCCCCTAGACAATTTTTTTGCACCCGCAATACTCTTGTACCATATTTTAAATATGATTTATATACTTTTTTGCCCAAAAATATATGCCAAAATGCACCACATTAATTTTATTTATCAAAATTGTCTGGGAGAGAACCATAGATGCTCCACCTCCATGAGAAGCTTGAATCCATGATGCTTCCACAGACTTGCTGCATTTTGAATTTCAACTTCAACTGTTGTCCCTCCATCAAGTCAGTCTGCCCTCTTTTCCAGTCTTGGGAGGTTGGATAATTTTCAATAATTGATATCAACGGTGATTGCTTCACGAATACGTCTTGTATGTTGATATACTGATATCAAATTCTTTAAACTTACTGAGAGGTGAGAGCACCAGTGGCTGAGTAAGTTAGATGCTTGTTCACTAACCTGAAGGTCCAGGGTTCAATCCCACCATAGGTCAAGCTAATACCTTCAGATTTTTCAACCCAGTTTCCCCCTGTCAGTAAGTTAGATGCTTGCTCGCTAACCTGAAAGTCTAGGGTTCAATCCAGCATAGTCAAAATAAAAATTTTTCAATATGGTTACCCCCTGTCAGTGATGTAGGTAATAAGGACTGACATGGAAAAGCGTTTAGGTGTTCAGATGGGACATGAAATAATTGGTGGCCCTGTGCTACAGGCAAAATTTCCCTCATTGCACAGTGCATGGCATTGTACGTCTTCATTAGCCAAATCAGGTGCAGAAGAGTATGACCTAAAACTCCATTCATTCCATTTCCAGAACTGACTAATCCTTCTTTAATAATTGTTACAACTCAGAAAGCCCTGTATTTATCACAGAGGTTAAGTAGGCTAAGTATTAAAGTTGTCAATACTAGTGTTGTGTCCGTCCAACCATTGAGATATATAACAGTTACTCTATGACAACTTTATACTAAAAGGTGTTGCTAAATTGGAAGGAGGTTAAAAAATGGCCGTGAGCGTTAATGGAGGTAATGGCATTCCAATGATGGCCAGAAAAATACCTGTAGCTGCTGGTTATCCTGATGTTATGTCTAACTACAAGGTAGTCAGTCTCTCTCTCTCTATTTTACTAATAGTAGATTTAAACATGATTTAACTGTTATACATTGTATTACTAATATTACTATTGATATATACTATTGATATACACTTACAAACAGAATCTATCAGACGACAAACCTTTTACTCACCCTGTCTTTACTACTTGATATATACACTTCCAAATAGACTTCATAAGTCATCAATCAGAGAAAAACAAAATAACAGTACAAAAAGGGGGGAGGCATCATGGCCCATAAGAATTAAGCTACGACCCCTCAGTTTAAAACATCACATTGATGTCTCTATTCCTAGTGCTCCTGCCCCTCTTGAAAATTCTGTGGTCCCCACTCAGCCCCTTTACCTCATAATTTAACAGAGTCTACTTCCAGTAGGCATCTATCACAAACTTATTACCTCCCCCTGTCTGTTTATACAGTACATCAATAATATTAGATCACCAAAAACCTGAACAAACACTTACAAAGGTACATGTCAGTCTACTGTTTAGGGGAGGCCCAGAGGTACATGTCAGTCTACTGTTTAGGGGAAGCCCAGATGTACATGTCAGTCTACTGTTTAGGGGAAGCCCAGATGTACATGTCAGTCTACTGTTTAGGGGAAGCTCAGATGTACATGTCAGTCTACTGTTTAGGGGAAGCCCAAATGTACATGTCAGTCTACTGTTTAGGGGAAGCCCAGATGTACATGTCAGTCTACTGTTTAGGGGAAGCCCAGAGGTACATGTCAGTCTACTGTTTAGGGGAAGCCCAGATGTACATGTCAGTCTACTGTTTAGGGGAAGCCCAGATGTACATGTCAGTCTACTGTTTAGGGGAGGCCCAGAGGTACATGTCAGTCTACTGTTTAGGGGAAGCCCAGATGTACATGTCAGTCTACTGTTTAGGGGAAGCCCAGATGTACATGTCAGTCTACTGTTTAGGGGAGGCCCAGAGGTACATGTCAGTCTACTGTTTAGGGGAGGCCCAGAGGTACATGTCAGTCTACTGTTTAGGGGAGGCCCAGAGGTACATGTCAGTCTACTGTTTAGGGGAGGCCAAGAGGTACATTTCAGATGGTGTCTTTTGTACAGGTACCTAGTCTAATTAGGTGTAGAAATGGACTAAGTGTTATCTTGTTGTAAATGGTGGTTTAGATATCTATAAGTCTCTAATTTTGAATAGATTTAGACTGAAGTAGGGTTTTTTTGTGGCATTTAATGTTCACAATGTCAAGCTATTACAAAATGCATCAAATACCTTGACTGCAATAGCCACCTTTCTTGTATCACAGAAGTTGGTAAATGGAGTGATCTGATTGGATCGTACATTAGAGAATACAGCCAATCACAACAGAAAGACTGAAAACTATTTGGAAGAACATGTAATTGAGTGGATATAACAAAAAACACAAGGGGTATAACTCACTTCTTTAATAACAAAATATATAACGTTTCAACACAATTTACACGTGACGTTATCAGATGAAATGAGGACACGTGTAAATTGTGTTGAAATGTTATGTACTTTGTTATTAAAGAAGAGAGTTATACCATAATATACCCCTTGCGTTTTTTGTTATATCTACTCTCCACTTCTAAATGTCGTTGAAATCTTATATAATTGAGTGCTATGATTTGTAATAGTTGACATTAAGTAGATTGTGGCAGTGAGGATATGAATCATATCTTATTTTACAAGTCATCAAGATAGTAAATTAGCAATATTAATTTGTAAGAAAATATAATATTTGTCTGAATGTATTAAATTATTGTGGTCCAGTTTTAAAAACAGTTATGTCCCTTGTATTGTTGTACTGAAGAGTTATTTGGTTGTAGCTTGATAAAGTTTAAATTTGACCAACAAGATAATAAGATTATTTCCAACTGTAAAACTTGATTTGAATCAAATTTCAGATATCATTTAGAATTTTTAACAGTCAACAACCGAAGTCTTGTATAAATAGTTAATTTGACGAATGTTCAAGACGGTTGTCGTTAGACCCTACTGTGAAGTGGCTATACTAAAAATAAAAACTAATAAAAAAAAACAGAACAAAAGTTGGGTTTAATGTTAATTAAACTGAGTTTTTAACTAAGTCATGTAGGTCTTTGGTTCTAAGTTCTTGCGGACAATCTTGATTTAAAATGACAGCTCGACAAAACTAACATAGAATTTACAGTTTTTATTTGAATAGTAAAAATGTATCATTCAAATAGAATGCCCTTTTGAATGTTTTTTAATGTAAATTATTTTATTATTGATAAGAGAATCTATCAAAATTCAATCAAATATAAACTCTAGCCTGAAGTGAATATACATCCTTGAGAAAACTAGAATAAAACATAATAATACAGAATATTATTTACATAGATCAGGTGTTTTCAACCTGGAGGTAATTTTGAAGTTTTGGGAGGTTATAAGGTGTTTTGAAGTCTGGCATAAAATTGTAGAGAATGATAATTTAAGTTGTTTTATATCGGTCAAGATATATTCTCAGACATGAAAAGGGAATCCAGGGAAAACCTCGGGGGAAAATCGTGAAATAGTAAGAATTTATATGGGGAAGGGGGTAATTCACCAACGCGAAAAATATTACAGAGAAAATTGTGAAACAGTAAGGAATTACAGGGAAAGGGGGTTATTCAATTGAACAAGGAAAGGGGTATTAGAAAGAAAAAGGTTGCAGGAGGAGACCTAGGAGAAAATCCTGAAATAGTAAGGAATCATAGAAGGGAAAGAAGGGGGGGAGGGAGGGTAATTCAATTGATTAAGAACTCTGAAAGGGTGAATAGAAAGAAATAGGTTAAAAACCTCTGAGACAGTGACTTGTATAAAACATAAAAACAGTGAATTTTATCACCAGAGAAAGTTATAAACAGGTTGCCAGCCTGGAGGGGAAGTTGGTTAAAATAGTGGTGACATGTGGTAATCATACAGCTATTGTCTTTTGTGAAAACAGATTTCTAAATTTTTTCTGAAATTGTTGTGAGGTGACTTGACTTTTACGGATGTTAAGGGATGTGGTTGTTTAACTTACAGGTCTATTTACTAGAGTTCAATTTAGATTGAAAATCTCATTAATAGTTTATTACACCAGATTACAGACTTCAAATTAATCTTGCCAATGACCTTAGCTCTTTACGGTTGTAGAGACCACGGAGAGATACCCTAAATAACCAGATTCAGTCAAAAATCATTTAGAAAAATACATACATTTTTATACACCCACATCTCTCTATGTGGACATATATTGTCGACACCCCTGTTAGTCCGTCCGTCCGTAAACGCTTGTAAACGCTGTAAACGCTCAAAAGTAGATTTTTTGATGGAATCAAATGAGATTCGGTATGTGTATACATAGTCATAAAACGAAGATCAAGTTCGAATTTGAGCTATTTTCGACTGTTAGAAGCAGAGTTATTGCCCTTGCCCCAAAATATTTACCATCCACATGCCGTGTTATTTCGTAGAATTGATCAGAGTACAGATACCTGGGTCGCTCCTCTGAGTTAATATCTAGTGTGCCCCAGACTCTATTTTTTAGATATATAGTGTTTGAAGGTGATTACCAAATCAATTTATATATCATATTTTCTAGAATCTTAAAAAAATATGATTTAAAATCTGAATGAGTTTATGGAATAATATTATTCTTGTTTCGGAATCTTTATCGATAAACAGATTATGTATTATGAAATTATCTCTGAAAATCAAACACCGCCAATTTACCCGTCATAAACGTCAAGATAAGGGAGGTAATTGATATAGATAGGTCTGGATGTCAGTGATTGATTTTCTGACTAAGAACGAAGTTTCACTATCATAGTTTAAATCATACACCACTTATTAATATATATAGATATTAAATCAATGAATATATAGGACAGTGGTTCACTTTATCTAAATAGCTTTGTTTACAGGGACAGATGCGCCATTTTGGGGGGTTGATTTTAGTCTTGAATATATGTAAATAGTCTTCAGAAGTACTAAAATGTACGAAAATCACATAATTCCTTTAAAAATATCTCAAACTAGGAATTTTACTCACTTTATCTATATATATCTTTTCTATATATCACAGAGTATCTTAAATTGATGAGTCGTCATTTTAACATTCAAACACAGATAATTCTAGACACACATAGATTTGAAGACTCAAATTTTGACTGTGAACTATGAACACTTTTACTGATTGGTTCAGCTAAATAATTCCAGTTTCTGAGTCTAAAGTATGATTAGTTAAAAAAATGACCTACCTGTCTCTGTAAAGTGATCTGGAATTCGGTGATTGTTTTTTTAATGGTAATATTGTAACAGAATGGAGCCTTAACATTTTCTATTTATTCCTTCTTACTATTGTTTACATTACTCATTTCAAACCCTTTCTTTGTTTTTTTACTTCATGGCCAGTGCCTTATTCAGGATAATTTTCTCATCTTTCTTTATCCAAATAGTTTGTAATCAGTTAGTGAATCAAATCAATCAAAAGAACCTGTTTAATATGACAGAGGTTACCTAACTAATATATTATTAACTGGTTTTCCTGTATGTTTTGATATTTAGAAACTAAACACCAATGATTTGCTGATTTAAGAATTCAGGTATTTATTTTCACGGTCTCTAACATAAGGTTTAACTCCTGAAGAGAAATTTGGTAGAAATATGCAATAATGTGTTGAAGAGATGTCATTTAAGAGCATGCCCCTTTTTACCAGCCTTATTTTATGGAATAGTTCAAAAGTCACAAGAGAACATGCCCTTTTAACTGGCCCATTTAATTAAAGGTGGTTGATATCAGAAGAAGAGCATGCCCTTTTTGATGGAATAGTTGGGGTCACCAGAGGGCATGCCCCTTTTATCTTGCCCCTATGATCATATATAGTAAATACTCTTGCCTTATATGGTTAGTAAATTTGATAGAAAGTTGAAGCAAGTTATTTATTGGGTTATTTGTTTGAGATAACAGTAATAGTAAGACCCATAGTAGAATGTGACTTGTACAAATATAACTGTCCAACTTGGTTAATGACGTATTTATATTACTGTCTCTCAACACATTTATTTAAACAAGACTGGCTCGGATTTCATCAGTAACATATTCAGAACATGAACATGCATTTACCTTCACACATTCTTCCTTAATAAAACAAGTACGCACAATAATTTACATTCATTTAGGTTAATAAGACATGGAACGTGAAATACATTTATAAACACTTCTAGAAATTTACTCGAGATTCAAAATGATTGAAGTACTGATCTACATGTTTCCTGCTGGTAACTACACTTGTTAGATTCCTTCATTATTCCAGTCAACATAGCTGTTAATGAGTACAAATAGTCCTGGTAAGATAAATACCAAGAGGTCTGGCCAAGGACCAGCTGGTAGAAAGGATCCTTGTGAACCTACGTTGCTATCCTTGTTAAATCAATGCCAAGAGGTTTGGCCAAGGACCAGCTGGTAGAAAGGATCCTTGTGAACCTACTTTGCTATCCTTGTTAAATCAATACCAAGAGGTTTGGCCAAGGACCAGCTGGTAGAAAGGATCCTCATGAACCTAAGTTATTATCGTTGTAAAATCATTACCAAGAGGTTTTGGCCAAGGATCAGCTGGTAGAAAGGATCCTCGTGAACCTAAGTTGTTATCCTTGTAAAATCATTACCAAGAGGTTTTGGCCAAAGATCAGCTGGTAGAAAGAATCCTCGTGAACCTAAGTTGTTATCCTTGTAAAATCATTACCAAGAGGTTTTGGCCAAAGATCAGCTGGTAGAAAGGATCCTCGTGAACCTAAGTTGTTATCGTTGTAAAATCATTACCAAGAGGTTTGGCCAAGCATCAGCTGGTAGAAAGGATCGTTGAGAACCTAAGTTATAAAGCTCTATTTCATTTCATTAGTCCAAAATGATACAGAACAGTAGGATATAAAACTCTATTTCATTTCATTAGACCAATAAGATACAGAACAGTAGGATATAAAACTCTATTTCATTTCATTA